AATTACTCGAGCTGCATGGGATACCAAAACCATCCCTACTTGATTGCTTCAATCGAAAAAAAATATTTTCATCTTCAAAGTCTTACGATGACTATGGCATATGATGTCATACTCTGAAGACGGTGGGAGCAGCGAGAAAAACTTGCGTCTACTTATTAGGTTGTCTCATAAATAGTGTCGCTTTTTTTCAAACAAAAAATTTTCATCTAAATCCTCAAGCTTTTACATCGAGTCATATACCATTCGAAAGAGAATTGTCTGCTCTACAAGATGCTATGTTTCTCTTCCACCTCTGTTCCAGGGTTTTCAAATTTTAGGCCTGCGAAATGGGAGGTCCAGCCGACAAAAATTGACCAAACCGACAACTATCTCTAACTTTATCTTCCCTTGGGAGAAATCAATCAATGATGTACCCTCTACTTACACATGACCTCTTCTGAACATTACACTATTAGGTTTCCCAACAAGTCGCGTCGTTCCATTTCCAGACCTGGTTTTTCAACAACCCAGGAAGAGATTGATGGTCGAGCACCATTACTGAGATCTAGGTCGAAAATTTTTATATAGCCGAGACACATGAAAAACTGGTAGAATTTAAAGAACAAGTCATGACTATGTTAGGAATGTACGCCTGGTTGATTTTCTCATCTTCTCAGGAATAATTTTTTTCAAAGAAATGCGGTCACTTTCGTGGATAAAGCACCTTACTCCTAAACACCTAAAATTCGAGCTAATTCCTAACAAACATTAAAAACAAAACAAATGAGCGAATAGAGCAGAAGAAGTGCTCACAAAAGAAACACCACTCGATATGAAACAATGACGTTTACGAGGAACAATTTTAATTTGAAAATTGCTATGGCTTATCCGTCAGCCAATTCGAAAAGAAACAACGGCAAAGCTTTTTCGGCAACCTAAGAGTGGAATGTTCAGAAGAGGTCATGAGTAAGTAGAGGGTACATCATTGATTGATTTCTCCCAGGGAAAATAAAGTTAGAGCTAGTTGTCGGTTTGGTCAATTTTTGTCGGCGGGACCTCCCATTTCGCAGGCCTAAAATTTGAAAACCCTGGAACAGAGGTGGAAGGAAAACATAATAATCTTGTAGAGCAGACAATTCTCTTTCGAATGGTATATGACTCGATGTAAAAGCTCGAGAACTTTGAAGAAACTTTTTGTTAGAAAAAAAGCGACACTAATTATGAGACAACCTAATACTAATAAGGGACGGCGGAGTATTCTTTTTGTAATGTCTTCCGTCAGTGACG